GTGAATAAGTGGCTTTCAGTTTTGGATTGCAGCGTGGGTGCTCAGTCTCTAAAAGGTTCACCATCCCCGCTCTATGGAAAGAAGAGAAACTAGAAATAGCTTGGCCCACCTGCCCTTACTTCAAATCATCATTTCTGTCCCAGAAGTCAGATCAGAGTAATCCTATATTGTTGGTCACTTTAGTTTGCATGAAGAAAGGTAAATTCTTTCTGAATAAAAGTCACATCATCATACAAGCTCAGAGAACTCCCTCAGTCTTTCATACGCAATGCTCACACTCAGCAGTAAAGCCAGGACCAGGAGGAATTGAGACAACATAACTGTTTTTAAAGAAAACTAAAAAAAACAAAAGGCAAAAACCACAGGCTACAGAAATTTGAGATTTATCAGACTACTGACTCATATCAAACACAGTACCTAAAATAAGAACAAAATAGAAAATCTAGAACTAAAAAGTAAAAATAAGAGAATTTAAATCTTCCATATGTAGTTTAAAAAGCAAATTTATGGGCCAATCAGTCAGTGGAAAATAAATGGGAAAACAGAAGAAAGCATGATAAAATATAAACATAAAAAATATAGAACAAAGGTTATGAAACATGAAGGATTAAAAAGTAGCTTTAAAATTTATAACAGGAATTCTAGAAAATGAGGAAAGAATATGATGAAGCAATAATGGAAGAAGTAATGTCTAAGAATTTTCTAAAATCAAAATGTGTCAAGCCATAAATTCAAGAGGTCCTTACACACTGAAGAAGATTCAGTTAAACACACACCACATATAGGCACACTGATTTTTAAAACATACACTTGGGCGCATAATAGAAAATATGCTGGAAAACAGGCATAAAGAAAAAATTGTGTTGAAATCAAGTACACAAAAAGATTACAGACAGGAATACCATCATTAATGAAGCAGTAATTACAAAAGCACTCAGCAAACTATAGACTATAGGCCAAATCTAGCCCACCTATTTCTGTAAATAAAATTTTACTGGAAGACAACCACACTCACTCTTTTATGTACTATCTAACATGCTAAGCACTTCCTTCATCGGATACAGGTACTATTAAAAATATACTGCTAAAATGTTTAAAATTTCACTCTGAGATCTGAAAGGTGGTAAAGGTGCTTCTTTATACCATTGTCCCACTTCTATTTAATACTGCCCTAGCCAGTAAGTCAAGCAAAAGTAATAAAAGGTATAAAATCTGCTGGGTGTGGTGGTACATGCCTGTGATCCCAGCACTCAGGAGGCTGAGGCAGGAGGATCCTTGCAAGATTGCGGCCAGCCTGAACTGCATAGTGAGACCCTGCCTCAAAAAGACAAAAAAAAAAAAAAAGGTATGAAATCTGCCAAGTTCTACATCTGGACCTTGAATGTCCCTCAGAGAATATGCATCAAAGGCTCTGTCCCTGGCTTGGTCCCCAGCTTGGCACTCTGGGGAGGTCGGGGACCCTCATGGGGCATCTTTCAGTCATGGGAGGCATGGCCTCCAAGGGGACTGTGAGGTCACAGTCCCTCCTCTCTTTGGCAACCTGGCCACAAGATGAGCAGTTTCACTTCACTACATGCAGCCCACCATGATATGCTGGGTGGCCTCAGGCCCAAAAAGCAGGGATCAACCAATCAGGATTGAAACTTCCAAGCCTGTGAGTCATAAACTTTTTATCTTTATAAAGTTGATTTTCTCAAGTACTTGTTATAGTAGTGAAAAGCTAACTTAAATAGAAATGCAGTCATAAAATT